GGTCAAATATGAGTAGCTTACGAATATCTACTCTTAGTGGCCACGTTTCGTAGTCGTAAAGTAAAACAGAACGAACTGCTGACCAGTATACTCGTTCATTAATTGATAGACGGATATCTCGCTTTCGCTATAGGTGACTTAAGTTAGCAAAAGCCAAACAAGCTTTACGAATCCGTGATGAGATTTCGTCAAACACTAACCCATCAGGGCTGATCAAACTTTCAAGATAAGTGAAGTTGTGAACGCGTTAGACTACTTCACTCCCTATCCTTAGTTCAGTTGTTGACGCAGACCAGTCCTGAAGCAGCAGCTTGCATTTAGAGGGAGAGAAGCGCATTCCAAACATTATGGCATTGTTGCTCAGTGCTACCAGAAGACTCTGCATTTTATCAGCGTCTTCACCAAACAGGACTATGCCATCTGCGTATTCTAAGTCGATAAGTGGACCTCCTGGAATGAGATCATTACCCGAGAATTCAGTAGACGAGAATGTTATTTCAATCAGTAGGTCTATGATGAAGTTAAACAAAAATGGAGAAAGTGGACAGCCTTGATGAACACCATTTGAGGTTGCAAAACCAGATGAAAGTTCACCATAAGCTCTGACCCGACTGGTAGTGTTAGATTAAAGAGCCTTCACAAGGCTTATATACTTCCGAGGTACGCCTTTCAATGACAGACACTGTCACAGAATCTCGCGGTCTACCGAGTCAAATGCTGCTTTTAAGTCAAGAACGACCACCATTGTCGGACGCCGATAAGTATGCCTATGTTCTAGTACCTGACGAATAGTGAATATGTAGTCGATGCATCTACAGCCAGGTCTAAAGCCAGCCTAATTTTCTCGTGTTTGCAGTTCACGTGTCTTAGTTAAGCGAACGATAGTTATTGACGCTAGTATTTTAGATGCTATTTTAGTCAGAAAATCCCTCTACGGTTGTCACAGGATGATTTTGACCCCTTATATATTGGGACGATCAGTGATTGCGATCATTCAGATGAGATTATGTCAAACTCCCAGATTATAGCTAAAATATTAGTCCACATAATCGCTAAAACTGGATCACCATACTTAAAGACCTCTGAAGCTAATCTATCTGCACCAGCTACCCCTCCTCGTTTTCGATTAACTATAGCCTTTTGAGCTTCAGCTAGGGTCGGGGGACCTACTTCAATGTTCCATTCACACTGTCTGGGAATAAAGGATAGTTGTGGAGTAGCTGAAGGCCAGCTGAACTGTTCTTTAAAATGTTCCGCACATCGTTCTAAACGTCTGGACTGGAAGGAGGTGAGAGTGTCGTCTTTTTTCGAAATAGTCTGACTTACACTTGACTTACTCCAGTTTCTTTCATCAGTCTGAAAAGCTGTCTGGCATTACCTACAGCCACTGCCTTTTCTATGTCTTTTTCTTTCATTGCCCACCACTGCTTACGGTCGTTCCTTAGACTTTAGGTTTACCTAGATCTGATTTGTTTTGCCTCTTTATCGTGTTCAGAGCATGATGGGGTGAGTTTACGAGAATCCATCAGTGCAATAGACCTTGAGGAAATCCATTGGTTCTTTGTAACCCTGTGGTTTACATCATTAATAGATGTCACTGCTGTTTACACAGCTGTTTGTTTATCTTTCCAAGCAACATCTGGGTCAGCCTCGTTTTCAGAACTACCTAATTGTGACCTCAGTTGTTCCTGGAACCTACTTTTGGTTTTATCGCTACTCAATTCAGTTCTAATTGTTCTTTTTAGTGTGGCTTTTCTGCATCCAGTGAGGCTCAAGCAAATGCGTGCTCGTATTAGAACATGATCCGAGCCCAAACCTGTATTCCAGAACGAGTGACAGTTTTCTATCGAGCCTTACCAACGATAACTGATGGCAATATGGTCTATTTGAGTCCATCATTGGTATGTAACAGGGGTTCGCCACGTTAGACGACGTCTCCCCTTATTATCTTAATTTAGTGCTTGATAAAAATTAATGATCGTTTAAGCACAGTTGCAGCAGACGGTCACCAATATTTGTTTGCTGTGTCAGAATACTGTCATACCCATCTAAATGTCTTTCTGTTTTGTTTTAGCCACCTACTTTGGTATCAAAGTCATCTGTGAATAGTGAGTGTTTAGCTTTTTGAACAAGTTCAGAAGGCTTTCTATAAAGTTCATGTTTCACTTCTTTCGGGTTGTATTCAGTGGGAGTGTAGGCAGAAACGAAAATGCAGTGATGAGTGTCCCTGTCCTTCCGAGTTCTTACGGAGCCGTTTAGCTAAACAGCTTGTAGGCGACTGTTAACAGGGGTCCATTCTCATAGTGCTTGTTCTGCCCTCATACGTAGTACTGTGCGTACACTCGTCAGTCCACAAGAACTTGCCGCCGGGTCGTCAGATAGACGGAGTGTATGTCTCGTCGGGTTTTCGTTTAGGCCAGGTGAGGTCAAGTGAATGACTACACTAGGATCCTGTTGATGTGTTTTGGAGACACAGCATACATCAATCGAACGAGACTCTAAGGTTTAACCGAATGAGGCTTGCTGGCCTATTTGGCATAGGATGCGTACGTCGAAGGCTCCAATGTGTAATGTGGAGCAACGTTTCAGTAGACGTTTGACAATATTTCGCTCACTAGAATCATCTGGCACGGTGACACTTGAGGAGGAAAATTAGAGTTGATAGTCGAGGTAGGATGAATAATATGAATTTGAATAGGGAGATTGATTATAAATACAGTGACCATAAGTGCTGTTAAAGGTATGAGGGTGGTTATCACTTCCCAGTTGCCCACCTGTACCTGAAAAGGAAATTGGGTTAGTGATTAGTCTTGCAAATTGAACGCTATATTCGTTTCCTAAGCTATTCTGTAACCCCCAAGCTAGGACTATACAGTGACCTGAACAGCGAGAGAAAAGACACAAAGTGTGAGAGAAGTAGTTTGCTCCACGGTTCATTTTAACACGGAAAATATAGGGTTTTTACAATATTTTTAAATGGCTTTGGGTTGCTCGAGGATTCTGGAATGCTACTATAAATAGTAGCAGTATAGCAATCAGAACCTATACATGTGACGTTTTACTTCCTTGATATTTTTGGCTAAAACTTCAAGTGAACGCTGAATAGATAAAACGCTTCTTAGTGTTTCCTGATCCTTGTTTATCTTTGGCAAGAAAATTTCTAGATCACTTCAACAGTTAGAGTTGGTCTTAGTGACCCGAGAGCGTGACTGCAGTACTCAAGGGAAAACTGTCTGAACCGGTGTCACGCGAACTCTTTGTGAGTAATTTCTGTTAGCTCCGTACTTATTGAGACCTTATCGCCTGAGACGGATATCCGTAGGATAAGGCGATATGTGCATTTTTAGGGTTGACCCTTTCTAACCTCACTTTTTGTGGGGTGGGCAACATCGCTGTTATGCGAGTTGTCTGAAAGAAACACCCTACTGTCGTCACACGTCCGTACAGTTAGCAGTACGACTTCGCCCTCGGACCTTGGGTTTGCTGCTTTTAGTCTCATCGCTCTTCAACCGACATGTCTGGCATGGTAGGACCTTGGGGAACGAATGTTCTGGACAGTATAGCTCGATTGGTTCATCGCGTCAGGCAAGCCTGACCACCACGTCAAGTTATCAACAACTGTTGGGACGTTGCGCATGACTGATTAACTTGCCGAAAAATTCGGTAAGTAGGACTTCTGTAGACATTATTCTAAAGATGTAAGCATCTGAATTGGTTTCGAGAAGCATAGACCCTCCTCATTATTCACCGAGCGCTTAAAAGACCGTTATTGTTCTTTTTGTAGTTAGTAATTAAAGTTAATTGACATTTTAAACTTTTGCAGTTCGATACAAACTGCTTCAGGAAGTTTTGGTATTTTATTAGTAATATTAATTTCGTGGGATCCGGTTTCTAAATTTTTGCGGTCTTCGATTTATCCGTAAGATGGTAATTGACAATGTGATGAGCTTCGTGGGTTATGAACAAACAAAGTAGACAGATGAAAATTTATCGCTTCTTTATATATGATAGGTAACTGTTGATCGTTTTGATTGATCTTCATCTTCACAGTTTGACTGCTTATGCAGAATAATCCATACTTTAAGTGCTAAAATAAATTAAATTGAAATACAAACAAAATATATCTTGGAAATCACGTAATATTTTCTGCAATGTGTGTTAAGATTTCAGTACAATAATAAGAAGCGTAGTCCCTTGATTTGATGTTCTGAAACTCACACTGTCTCAATTCTCTTATAGTTTTTCGTAAGACATCATGATTTTTATGACTAAAGTATCACCTTGATAATATCGTCCACTAAGCTAACAGTCCTTAACTTCCGCTTCACTAGCGATGAATGACACTGCTTGGCCAATTATTACTAGTTTAATATATCGCCTTAATTTTAAATTCCCACTCGTAAGTCTAATCTTCGACTTGTTTTACGTTTATGATATATTCTTTCATTAACCATGGCACATTCTTCACTATCTGGGCACTAATAGTTACTTACAGAATAATCTGTATGCTTTATTACAATATTTCCTTAGATAGGACTTTTTGTGAGAAAATCGTAGTAGTTATAGTCCATTTAGGTTTCAGCTAGCTAATCAAGGCTTCTTACGCCTCTTCGCTTTAGGCAGCTGATACTGGTTACTACTCACAAAATGATCAGTAGAGAAATCTTAGACTTGCAAACAATGGGTTTTGATCCTAACAGTTCAGTTGTTTCGTCTCAAGTGTTGTTATTGAGCGACACATCGGAATCACCAGTTGCCTTGTAGTTAAAGTTACTCCTGATTGAAAAGTTCCAACTACTCCACAGATCCATTTTGACTACTTTTAAGATCACTAAACTTAATACGAACCATATGATCTGTAAGCAAGTACCTCCTAAGTTAGATCATCACATCACAAAACGCGAATAAGTGTGATAAAATATTTTAATCCATGCTGATTCGTTCATAAATAATTATGTGACACATTAAACATCCAGATTTTTTTTTCTTCACGTTGACAGTTTTATGAAGGTGATTTAAATACAAGAATTGGTAATCCTGGATGATTGGGCTGTTAAACATTTTGGGGGATTCTGAATGTCTTCTTGATAACTATATATTATTATTATTTTTTGTACAGAGTCATTATAACGCATTTTACTTATCTTCTAATACACTATTGATAAATATTAATGATGATATATGTTGCGCTTAAAACATTTAATATTGTAGTAAGTTTTTTATTCAATCTACATACCAACTCACTTTTGATACTTGGTAAGTTAGTTATCAAACTAGATTGTACTAATTGGCCATCTTAAATGAGTTGAATTTGTACTACAAACTTAATGAAACTCCTGCTTAGTTATTTTAACTGGTCGGATAAGATTTCCTGGTGAATAACATATGTTGGTCGTCATTTTCATCGATTCATTCCTTTATTTACACCTAATTGGCACCTAATAAGATGAACTAGAAGTCTAAATTTTGAAAATAAAAGCAATAAAATCTCGGTTTTTGTCTTTAAAACATTAAATATCCGGGTGAGATTATACTTTTTGTCAAAATGAGTGGTTGCCTATGCGATATTTTAATTTGTTTCGCCAACTAGCAATTAGAACTCTAGTTAAATGAAACGATTATATTTGTATGATTTATACCTTGAAATTCATGTGATTATATGCACAGAATACGAGACCATACCTCAACATAAATAATAAATCATAACATATGCAAAACTAAGACATCTTTGGTTCGAAATTGTGTAATAAGTTGGTGCTTAATCCAGTGTGACCTAAAAACAGGAAAAGATATATCATTAGCTAATTGTTCAAATAGGAGCTTGCAATTAGGTCAAAATCGGAATTTCGTACGTCAGTTTTCTTACAACTACCTTTGAAAATATATAAAGCAGTTTATCGGAAAGTATCTTCCAAGCTGCCTATTTCCACATCTCTCATCCATAATAAATTCCTAGTAAGTATATTCTTTGGGGATTGTTCATATTTGCATTAGTTCCTAACTAAATTGTACTTAGTGATAATCGGTAGCACACCAAGAACCGTGCGGCCGTTAGAAGTTGAAATGCAACATAAAGTTCTAAACTATACCCATTAAGGTTTATTGTCAGTTATCTTAAACCACTGCATTGTCAAACGGAGTGTAAATTGCTTAAATTGGCTTCACTTCATAGTTGTGTTGGTATATTGTCTTTAGTACCGGTTGAAAATAACGTGTTGGTTTTTATATTATGTCGGACGCTTTTGATATCATGCAGTGAATTACATGTTCGACACTATTGTATTTCAAAAGAGAATTTGTAATCTTCAGTTTTGCTATTATTAAAAAAATTGACTTGTTTTTTAAAGTAACATCTACATTTAATACTCTACCCTGTTTTTATACAAATTTAGCAATGTAACGTAATGGACACTATGATCCTAAATTGACCAAATAAATGAGTATATCAGTTCACTTTGAAATAAGAGGAGGGTGTGATTAGGTTAATCTTCAAACGGTTATTAATAATTTAGGTCAGTTTTACAAATGTGTCATAAAGAAGTAACTTTTGATCTCAAAAAGAGTTGTCATTGGTACTTCACAATCAGACTTAAAACATTTTCGTGGATAAAAGAATCATGTTTTATTACTCAAAGTCAAATATTAATGGCCGCTGCGACAAGCCAGCTTTTATAACATTGCTTATTTGAACACAAATATTGGCACAAAGGGGCACAATGTACATATGCGACAAACAATAGTGATGAGAATGTAGGGTGTGTATAAGAGAAAAGGAGGCAATAACGAATAGAAATTAGTGTATGCAAGTGAAGTAAAAAATAGTGAGACCGTTCAATTAACAAAAATACAGCCGGAAAGAGTCTCTTCATTTAGGGGTCAAGTCCTTTTTTATGAAGAAATTAAAATACATTTACATCAGGACCGCCACTGGCTTCTATTATGAGAAATATCTGATAACGTCTCTAGCCATTCTGTCACACCATCTTTTGGACTCCAACCGGGGAATCGTCAAGGATCAACAGGAGCCGGCCCTATGTATATCATGTCATGCACTGACCACCTCTCCGCTTTTTCCAACCAGTTCCAGCGTCAGCAAACGATGTTGAGTTCTCTGGGACGACTTTCGTAGTATATGTCCAACTCGCCGAAGTCGATGTTTCAAGATGGTGACACCAGTTGAATCAACGCCTTTCTATCCGGCACAATGCCAAACCGCTGCATTCCTAACATGGTGTTGCTAGTGAAAGTCCGTAATCCTTCGAAGACAACAATGATCACACACAGGTGTCTAACATTCTCAACTCGGAGATGCCGGGTTGCATGGCTTGAGTATTTTCGCACAGTGAGACAAGGTCGAGAAGTCTTCCTCCATTCAGCAGATTCGCGTCGCCATTACTTACATTCATCAGAGCTGTTTCCAGAGTGTCATCGACGGAAAAGTTGAAGAGGAATGGTGAGACTGGGTAACCCTGTCTAACAATGGAGAGAGGTGGCTGTATGCCTTCACTTTGCCTGAAGTGTTCGTATATAGGGTTGTAGCGTGGTGTCGAGTGGAGATTGACTATGAACACCGCTATCAAGAAACTCGTGTCAAACGACTCCATAAAATCCCCGAGAAGCCAAATATCAGAAGGCAGTTAATGAACCAAGTCGAGATATATTTGCTGGCGATCTCGTGGTATCGAAAGGATACCGAGATCGTGCCAGGATACAAGCTTGGTTACAGAACGTAACCGAATTCGCGCGAAGTCACAATCAAAGTGTAAGAATAGGAATCGAAGCACAATATGGCTGTCATTAGCACGGTCAAACAAAAGCACATTAAAACAAACACTGGTACAGTTGGTTATTATAATAATTGTTTTCATTAAACCAGTCGTGTTCTCGTGATAAATGTGGGTCACTACAGGGCCTTTAGGGTGTTAATAACCTTCTCGGACAGTCCCAGAGAACAGTCCTATCCAACGAGTCAAAAGTAGCCCTGATATAAAGAGACACTACGATTGTTGGCTTTTGATAAGTATGTCGGAGGGGAGAATATCATCAATAGATTCTAGATTAAAACCGGCCTACTACTATCAAGTGGATCTCCGGTTTGACCAGGTGGTCTTTGGCTCATTCCACGATGTTGGAACACTAAAACCATTGTGAACAACTCAGGGAGTTCTTTAAGCAGAAGGTCGACACCATTTTTAGAAAGTGCCGTATGTAAGTCGTCTGAGCCTGGCGATTTACCGAGCTTCAGAAGTAGTTCCTCGCGTACTTCAGCCTCGTTAAGTATTCGAGTCGTCACAGGTTATGGGGGGGTAGGATTGTTTGACCGTTGTTGCTGGGGCAACGGGCCAGTTGAACTGTTTTTCGAGAATCTCTGATCATCGGTCAAGATGTCGATAAATGTTAGTGATTGTCATCCCGTCAGCTTAACAGATTGTTTCACTCACAGCATACTTCTTGCTGCCAGTGACTCGAATAAGTTGAAAGAGCTTCGGGCAGTTACCAGATGCAACTGCTGCTTTCAACTCATTAGCACGCTCCGACCACCAGGCTTGTCGCTCCTTATGCAAACGTTGGAAAATTTTCTTAATTAAGAATCTACATTTATTGTCACACTTGCGGTTACTCGGAGTAAAATTAAGTGCTCCAATGAACTGTAAGGAGCCTGTAGAAAACCAGTGCTTATGAGTGAGAGCTTTGGCGAGGCTACAAGTGACTTTGCTCGCCATTTTCATGGCATCATGAGATTGCAGTCAATGGTCATTCAAACTTCCCGGTGGGCTGATATCTAGCCTTAAACATAGCTCGGTTTGATATCTAGTTTCAACAGAAGCTGAAACCAATTTTCTGACATCGATCTATTTAGCGCGATGAATTTATTGGTAAGTGAAATGTAAGACAAGATTAGCGCAAGCCGAAGTATGATCAGAGTCCGATTAGTTACTCCAAAAAAGAAGTAGTCTTTTACACAACCACGCCAGTGGTGAATGATCGCGATATGATCAACCTGAGTCCAGGTTTGTGATTCAGGAGGAAGCCAGGACGCACGTCGGCGATGACTACCGAAAGTTAGTGCTAGCTAGAAACAGGTTGTGATCTATGCACAGTTGCAGTAGACGGTCACCGTTATCTTACCTGCGGTCACCAAGTGCTGATTGGCCATCTAAACGACTCTCTTTTTTGCCTAGACGCATGATCTGTGGATTTAAGTTTCTGGCTGGTACTATGGTTTATGTGGAACGCACTTCCTGTAAAAGAACACTTAGCTGGTGATGGGATTTTATCCTTGACTGCATCCGGGCTGTAACGTGTCGAGTCATAATCGGTGATGACGAAAAGACATCGTTTCTCTCGCCGGTTTCTTCTCACCTTTATGGAACTTTCTGATCGAACAGCATATAACCAACTGTTAATGGGGTTCCAATCGATCAGTGCTACCTCAGCTCAAGTTTGACATCAACTCCAGCAAAACCAGGCGAAGATGCCACAGCGTGCCCGGATAAACGCACGTCGAACAAGCGTTTTAAAGTGACAAATGGAGAGCGAATTTGTAGTACTTCACCGAAGTTTTGAATACGAGTCTCGAATAGACAACAAACGTCGATATTAAGATATTCCAAAGACATAGACAGCTCTATCTGTTGTCCGACCTGCATAAGGTAATGTGAATTATCTGACTTTTAGTCAAGGCAAGTATAGTACCCAGTGACCAGCATTAGGTTCATACACTATTAGTACCCTTATGATCCTGGAGCCAATATTCAACATTAGTTTGAACTCAGTGTTTTCCAACTTCTCTAGGTGGATCCTCCGTTCCCACCACACTGGTTAAAGAGCTGAACATCTGCTTTTCGTTCTCACAATTTCGTAAACAAAAACCCTGCCTCGTAAATGCGTTATGTAGGACTTCTCTAGCAGTGGTGTATGCACATGGCCGTGAGAGCAATTTGAGCTGACTCTCCCAACTCCCGATTGTACCAGAGCATTTGAAGGGTTCTCTAGTAACTAGCTTTTTGAGGAAGTTTCCAGAGTTCTGGTACGATAGTGAGGT